TGGTCGATTGTTCTTAACAATAACAATTGATTGATGTTGGTTTTGGCTCATTTTGAAGACATCGGATTTAGGTCAAGTTTGACCGGTCAGAGGTCAACATTCTAGCATCTGTTTTCTACTGGGTAATTTGCCATTTCTTCTCTATTTTTCTCCATTTACTTGCGACATAGTATTCTGATTAGTCTAGGTGTTGCATGAAGTCGTTTCATTTTCTTTTACTTTTGATTGTGTTGATTATTGTTAACTTGTCATGACATATTTAGATTACTAGTTTATTGCATGATTAGTAGTTTAATTATTTAATAGTTAGTTTAATTGCATGAGTTTGTAGGTTAATTAATCTTGACTAAATTAGGTTATTTGTTAAAATTGTCTGGTTTTAAATAATGTTACTCAGTTTTTGATTTCTAATCTGGTCGAATTCCTTGTGTTAGTTGTTTATAATTAACAAAAGTCTAAGGGGGTTAAAGGAAATAAGAAAATCATGGAATCTTTCTGTTTAGCTGTTAAGAAGGTTCTAGAATAGAGTAGAAAGGACTAAAATGCAATAAGACAAGGGAATTAGGTCAAATTTGGGGTTAAAAAGGGTAAACTCAAAAGTAAAAGGGGTTGAAAAATAAGGAAAAATGTCTGAAAAGGGGACAACTGTCCAAATCTGTTAGAAAAGATGCTGAAAAATAAGAAGAATATCTGAAAAAGGGACAGTTGTCCAAATCTGTTAGAGAAAAGATGCCTTTTTTTTCCTTATTTTTAGATGATTTCTTTTTCCTTGCATATAAGGCACACATTCTCCTGGACTCACACACAATCTTTTTACTCACAGAATTCACTCACATTCATCTCTAGATTCACATACACATACACACTCATTCATAAAACTCTCACTCATACACTTACACATAACTAGAGAGCAACTGAAAAGCATTCTGAAAATTCAAAGAAAGGTATTCTGAGTTCTAAAACAAAAGTTCAAAAGCCAAAACAAGGTTACAAAAGAAAGTAAGTTGCAGGGATGATTTCTGAAAACTTTTCGAAGCTGTAATTATTTTGTTCCTCCACATTTCTGGGTGTTCTAAAGCTGTTTGGTCAAAAGAAGTTGTCGATTTCACTGTTCGTATATTGCTGAACTTCGTTTCTCTCATCTCTTACCTTTATTTGGCTTGCTTAGTATTTTTCCTCCTCAACTAGGTCAGTGCCAAGCTTTCTTTGTATTATATTTTATCAAATGACCAGAAATGCTTATATTCTTATTTGATTTCTGTGTATTTATTTGTTGCTATCCAAATGTATAGCTTAATGAGCATTTCATTTCAATATGGACGGAAACAGTGAAGTAGCTCGCAATATAACACTTATATGGATAAATTTGATATTTATGGTCAATTAAGCATATGTCATTAGTTGTTAAACCATTTGTAAGTCTTGAATAAGGTTGAAGTTTTGTTTAAATTTTGCATATTTAGCTATAATTCAAACAGAAGGTTATCATAGTATTCTATGTATGAAATAAGTAAATTGGGGATGCAAAAAGATGTCGTTACTGATTACATGGCTATAGTTTGTAGATTTGGCAACTAGTTGGTTAGATTAGTAAACTCTAAAGCTAAGGAGTGGAATTGAAGTCATTGGTGGAAAGAAGTTTAAGCTGAAGATTAATTATGTCCTATTTATGCTAGCTATTATTGATTTTCGCATATATTAGAAAGTATTTATGTCCATTATCATCTTTGAGAATTGTAATTGAGGTGACCAGAACTGTAATTTCCGTTGATATTCGTTGTATTTAACTCTTATTTTGTATAAGAGTCTGGACATGGTCTAGCGTACTGATATATTCTTAAAAGTTATTATTTTTGCAATTGTTTGTATGGCCACATATTATAATCAAGGCCATGATTTTTCCTTTGAGTTATACAAAATTGGGCTTCCAGTCCGGCCCACTTTTAATTATACACGATTTCTTAATATTTGAGTGCACACCAAGTGATAGACTCCTCTTGCTTAAATGTCACTGATTCATTATGGGATTGATTCATTATGGGATGTTAAACTTGAAACTCCAATGTTTAAGTTGATTTAGTAGTTTTTGGTGTTATAAGAATATGATTTTAGTAGTGGAACGTATGAACCAAGTGTTGATTGTGTTGAAACTAGCGTTTAGTTGAAATTATTAACTCCAAAATGCTCATGAACCAACAAGTCTATTTCGACGTTAATCATATGCTTGGATTTCAAAACACTGCTTTAGACATTATGCCCACCCTCTTCCACGATATATTCCATAATCCATGACCTTGCATATAATCCCAAATTTAGGGAGAATTAATTAATTCATAAACGTCGTAGTTTGCTTTAGGCGCGATTAATAAATCATCGTGCCCATGAGTATGGTTCCCGTGGCATGGTCACGATACGTAAATTCCAACTCAAGTGCGCGTTTCACGCGACTTGACCTAACTTCAAATAATAATAAAAATAAACATGTTGTAAATCGCGGGTACATTTCACGTGGCGCGATTTGCAATATGTACAAAAAATAACGAGTGCGCGGCATCGCGACTTGTCCGAATAAATTGCATAAATATTAAAAACGGTTAATTAAATAATTAAAAGCGGTGAAAGATAAGATACACAATATGTCTAAAACAGGTAAATAATCGGATAATTAAGCAAGGTGTAATTGTAAAGCGATCATGCTAAAATTACGAAATCCGGGGGTGCCTCACACCTTCTCCCGAGTTAACAGAATTCATTACCCGGTCTTCTGTGTTAGTGGACCATAAATAGAGTCAATTTTCCTAGATTTGAGATTTTAAAATAAACCGGTGACTTGGGACACCATAATAATTATCCCAAGTGGCGACTCTAATCAAATAAATAATCCCATTTCAAATAATGTCACTTTAATTGGAAAAACTCCCTTATCTTCGGAAAAAGGAGGTGTGGCAAATATAATACCAAAAAACACAAAAATCAACTTGTTATTGTATTCTAAAACGTTAAAAAACTTAAAAGTCAAAAGATTTTTTACTCTTCCCTAATTTTTATTTTTTTTTCTCTTCATTTTCTACCAAGTAATGGAAAAAATAATCAATTTGCAAATCACAAAGCAAAAACGCGTTATCTTTTATGATTTCCTTTGCTTCGACGCTTCTAATTGTGCGTCCCTTCTTCACTTTTCTTTCTTTTTAGGTTAGTTTATAAATTTCTAACAATTTATTTTTCAAAGTTGATTTTTTTTTTATGAAGCAGTTTTGATTAGCGTTTTAGTCAATTGTTGAAGTATTTTAGTCGATTATTGATTTTAATTAGCGTTTTAAGATGACAGTTTTGTATATATTTTCACGTATTTTCATGTTTTCTTGAAATTTTCATAATTTTTATATAATTTTACCTTATGTTAATATTTATTTTTATTATGAATCATCATGCTATACTCGCGAGGAAGGAAAAACGAGCAGTTTACCCTTTAGTAGTTGCTGTTTCACGGCTCTAGTGTTCACAGGCTTTCAAGGAATGAAATATTATCAAGCACCCTTCACTAATTCGAATAGTATTTATGGTTCTACCTATTTCTTAGCAACTGGCAGCACTAGAGTGGGATAAGTAAACCTTGCCTTGAGCCTCCTCACGTCCATGACCGGTTGATGTCACGGTAATGCCCTCTTGGTCACTTGCTTGCTAAACGAACCACTGATGACGGAGTGCCCTGTACCCACACTAAGGGGTAAGGCATGAAAGTAGTCTAATTATTTTCACTTGAGTTGACTTAAGTCTTTCTCTCCTCGTACAGTCTTGGCTCCACCTGTTATCTCCTTCTACGATATGATGCTGTCGTCACCATATTCCATATGTCACTTAGTCTTCTCTGCCTCGCTGCGAGTCAGTACCTTCGAAATGTTAATTTTAAAAAATAAAAATTAAAGATTTATGTGGGGCTTATGCCCAGCGCCTCGAGGCTTACGCCTAGCCCCATATCAGACACAAACATCTCGCTTCATGCCCCTGCTTTTAAAACACTACATATAAATAGATAATTATACGTTAAAAATTGAAATGAATATTGTATAGATTTATCTCCCGCTATTCAACCTATTGTTATAATGATGATGTGTGTTAGTCGAGATCAAATCAATATGAAAAATTTATACAGCTAAAAAGGTTAATGATATTAGAGTCTAAAAAGGTTGACGAGAGTGGGTTGCTATAGTAGTGAGCACCCTTCACTTCTAACCAAGAGGTTGTGAGTTCGAGTCACCCCAAGAACAAGGTGGGGAATTCTTGGAGGGAGGGAGCCGAGGGTCTATCGGAAACAACCTCTCTACCTTCTCTACCCAGGGTAAGGGTAAGGTTTGCGTATACACTACCCTCCCCAGACCCCACTAGCTAGTGGGATTATATTGGGTTGTTGTTGTTGATATTAGAATCTAAATTTTTCTGCTAATGTGAAGTATACATAAAGATTTTTGTACATTGTGCAACAATACCAATAATAAGTTATATTTTATTTTGACACTATCTTCATAGTTTAGTTAAAATGATCAATAACCGATTAAGACTAATAAGATTTTACAAGTTGGATGTACATAGTCTTCGTCTGATTTAATATGCCAAACATTTGCGAACTACATTTCACCACCCTTAATTCAAGTGAGTTAAATAAAATTAAAGTGTTTGTGAGATTCAATTTGATTTTGTGAACATGCGGATAAGACAAATGCCATTTGAAGAGTCAAATAAGATTTTCTTTGACAATATTTTTTGAATACTTTTTTTAAATATTTTGAATTGTTTAGCTATTGTAACTTATAGTATTTTTTATTTTGTCTTTAAAATATATATGTTAATTTAGTTTTTAAAAAGAACAAAATTTTATGTTCGAATTCACACAGAAAAATTAGTCAGTTTAACCCTCATACTTTAAACTATGTCACGTAAAGTAGAACAAAGGAGATAGTATAAAATGTGAATAGCTTTCCCTATCGAGAAAGTCTTGCCATTAAATTTCTCAATTTGGCATGTTTAGACTAGGGCGCCTCAATGATGATTTAGTCGTCATAGTTCGGAGGGAAAATCTAGTAAGAATGGGAAGGGGTCGAACAAGCAAAATCAGGCGCGACAAAGACAAGTGTTTTAGTCAATTTATCATCATTTTATATAACCTAGATTTCATCACCATTTTTATTTATTATTACAAGTTCTTCCCAATTTCATATGTTTAGGTCAGGGCGCCTTGACGATGATGTAGTCACAACATTCCTTTGATGGGGAATCTGGTAAGATCGGAAAAGGATCGAACAAGAGGTGCCAAGCACGACAAAGATAAGTATATTCGTTAATTTTACCATTTTATATAACCTAGATTTGATCGCCATCTATATTATTACTGAAAGTAAAGTTCTTCCCAATCAAGTATGTTTAGACTGAGACGCCTCAATAATGATGCAGTTGCAACAGTCTTCATATAGGATAAGTATCTACTTCAATTCCTCATAATTTCATATAACCTAGATTTGATCACCATTTATATTTATTATTGCTAGTGTAGTTCTTCCCAGTAAAAGTTATATAGACTTAGGCGCTTCGATGATATGCAGTTGCAATAGTCTTTTAATGTTAAATCTGCTAAGATTGAGAAGGGGCCACAACAAGCGATTCTAAAAATGAAAAAGAGAATTATTTTCTCCAATTCTGCACCATTCTATATAACATAGATTTGATCGTCATCTATACTCATTCCTGCAGTAAATTTTTTCCCATTTTGCTACAACCTTTCCTTTTCTTTAGTTTTACACGCGCTTCAAAAAAACGTGACTACACTTCAATATTAAATCAAAGAAATTGACCTTTTATTTAAAAAAAAAATTGTGGCTTTAGTGCAATAACTTTTTATAAATAAGGGAACAAATAAAATAAAGGTGAAGTTTTGGGTTGCTTAAGTTTCAACCTGTCTTAGAAATTGACTTCACGACTAATGAGTACATTAGGGAGGGACTATGCTTGACTATGACATGTATATTATATATGAACTTATGTTTGTAATTAAAGTTGAACATTTCTGATTCGTAACATAATTCAGGTGATCAACAACCTGAGTTGGACCATGGCAAACTCAACCAAAGTACAAGTATAAATTCCATAAAGTTACATTTCTTTAATCACTTCCTTAAACAATGCTTACACTGATGTCAATCATTAATAGCTCAATCTCAAACAAACTTAATGCTTGCAATTTGTATCCACATTCCATGTATATGTTTTACTATATGGCACCATTGATTGTTATTTCTAGTTGCTATATGTATTTTTTGATTAACGAGAGTAAGTACCAGTACTCTGATCTTATAGATATTTATATAAATACATAATAATTGGAATAATATATTTTATCAATTTATATATTTTATTAATTTATCTTTGATTTTAAACATATGCTCAAAGTAAAACTATCAATTAGTCGAGATTAGTCAATGTAAGATATTTATAGAATTGATAATATCAAAGCAGAAGTCATTGTATTATTACGAAATATGCATAAAACTATTGTAACATGTGGTACAACACCATTGACACATTATGTTTGTTTTGCCATTATCATCTTACTATATAATTAATCTAATTTGCAATATCCAAGTAAGACTAGCTAGATTCTATGAATTGGATGATGTATTATCATTCTTTGACTTACAATCCCAAATATTTAAGAATTTCACATTGCCCAAATGTATAGTTAGTGTTATTATTTCTCTTAGATGGTTAATTATTAATAATTATAATATAATATCCTTAAAAATAAAAAAGTTACTTAAATTGTACAGTTGAAAATTTAATCTTTAGATGAGTTTGAAATTAAATACTACACAATCCACAACAGAAAAATACATTATACACTGTACCAACTAACCCTGGTTATCATCAAGTAAGTGTTAGAACAAGGTTAACCCACGTTAGTCAGTGACTCCTATATAAAGAATCCAAACTTATTCAGTGTTGGCAGCAGAAGCAAAAAGAGTACTCAGAGCTCGTGCCAAATGTTGTGGCCATAGCGTGCAAAATGCAAGAAATGGAGTTCACGCCTTTGCAAATTTTGGCCTTTTATAACCTTTGGTGGGTGGCCCTTTTGATTTTGGATTGAACATTTGCTCTTTCTAGTTTCACTCTTGATATATGTATGTATCGAGAATCAATTTTTTCCTTTTTTGGTAAGACTCCTTTTCCAGGTTTATTGATTATATTTTTGCCTTAGTTTATTTGGGTTTTTGAAGATTTTTCTCGATTTTTTTTTTATTTTTTTTTTTGGCTAGAATTTGAGCTCGGATTTTGATTGATAAATTGTTACCTTTTTTTTTGGGGTGCAATTCTGATGCTTGATTTTTTTCCCTTTGATTCATTTGAGTGATTTTGTTGCAGAAAATTATTTGTTTGGCAGCTCATTTACTGTGACTCAGAGGTAATCTTCTTCTTTTTTTTCATTTATTTCCATTCCCTTGATAATGTTGCTGGTTTATTATGCTTATTAGAGCTGTACCTTTTTATTGCATTTCTGTTTGGATAATTTTATGTTGATGTTATGTAGCTTATCAAGGAATGATGCATACTTGTTTTTCCCTTTGTTTTTGCAATTTCTGATTCTCTGCTGCTATGTTTTCTTTACATTTTTAATCCCCGCAAACACCACGTTACCACTGAATGGCTCAGAGATTTGAGTAATTGAATTACAGCAGAATTTGCATTCCTCATTGAATATTAGTTCTTTGGCTGCTTCACCTGAATGATAATACTGCTGCTTTTATCGTGCTCACTACACTCGTTCTTGTTGATTTTCAGCCTGTCATTTTTGTTTTTGTTATTTAGCCTATCAAAGAAACATTGATATGTGTTTTTACCTTTGTTTGACAACTCCTTTTTTCTCTGCTGCTATGTGTTATCTTAACTTTTAATCCCCACACACACCCCGACATTATTACCTAATGGCGTCTTGCTGCAGGATTGGGAACTGCAGATGGACACTTGAATGATCAAATTGCAGTAGTATTTGTAAATCTCGTAGACAACATAATCAAAATGGTTGATCATAACAGCACTGATGATGCCAATGAAAAGTCATTGGTGCTTTCGGACCAGGAAAAAGGAAGTAGGAACAAGAGGAAGTTCTTATCTGAGTTTCCTCCTAGTGATTCCCCTGTCCTGTCTCTTACTGAGTTTCCAAGATATGAATTATTAGAGAAAAAACTGCAAAGCACTCTTAATCAGCTCAAGTCATTAGATGGTGGGTGTCAACAAGGAGTGGAAAGGTCAGCAGATGCAGATTGGGAAGAACCAATAACATGTCAACTCGAGGAACTTTTATCACAAAACCTGTCTGCTACTTTCCGGAGTGCAGTCAAGAGGATTGTTGAGTGTGGATACAGTGAGGAAATTGCTGAACGGGTTATATTGAGGAGTGGCCTCTATCATGGTACCAAAGATACCGTCTCAAATATTGTTGATGGTGCTTTGGCTTTACTGAGTAGGGAAAAGGATTTTGATACCTCTAGACATCTCGCGTTTTCTGATTTACATGGGCTGGTAGAGTACACCATGCTGGAGATGATATGTGTGCTGAGGGAGGTTAAGCCAGCTTTCACAGTTGCTGAAGCAATGTGGTGCCTCTTAATATGGGACTTGAACCTGGTACATGCATGTACGGTGGAAGGTGATATTCTCGATGAGTTATGCAGTCAAGAAAGTCTAGGCGATAGCTTGAAGACTGAGGCTTCTGAGACTACTCAGTCAAACCCAGATAAACTACAGTTGTCAAAACCTTCCATCGCCATTGCTCAATCCAAAGTTGCTGTTGCTAGTGCAGCCCCTCAAGAACCGACTTCTAAAAATTCACATGTTCGTCAAGCGGCAATAGGGAAAGGAAGTTCAGTACCTCTTCCAGAAGCAGAGGCTAAATCCTTACCCACCAGCAGCAGGGGGCATAAGCAGAATCCCTCGAAAGCAGCAGTGTTAGAAGATAAGTCGGGAGCTGGTAGAAAGGGGTCATCCCTAAACTCCAAGAAGGATCTTCTTAGGCAAAAGACATTTCAGTTTGAGAAGAATTACAAAGGCCGTATGGGTAAGGGTTCCATTAAGGCAAAACTCTCTGCCTGGGGCAATATGGTTTTGGACAAGACACTCAACCCTCCGTCAGGTTCTTCTGGTGCAGCAACGAAGAGTTCTTCCTCTAAAGTAAATACTTCAGTTAAAAACAGTAGTCCTATAGCAGAAGGAAGTTCTGATAGTCTATGCCCTTGTTCATCCACTGCACCTGCAACTGACGACTCTGGCGTGCAAGATACTGTTATTACATCGCCCGCTGTAAACAAAAAGGATCCTTCATCATTAGCTTTGGATCCTAAGTCTAGTATAAAGGCCCCAGGCGGCAGCACAACTAGCTCTTCTGAGGTTCCAGATTATTATGCTGGTATCCCATATGATGAGTCTCTGGGGAAATATGTCCCTCAAAATGAGAGAGATGCTGCTATTTTGTTGCTAACTCCCCATATGAAAACACTGCAGAAAGAGCTCCAACGGTGGACTGATTGGGCAAATGAGAAGGTAATGCAGGCTGCTCGGAGGCTTGGCAAGGATCAGGCGGAGCTTAAAATGTTGAGGCAAGAGAAAGAAGATGCTGAAAGATCTCAAAAGGAAAAACAAATGCTGGAGGAAAGCACCACGAAGAGGCTTTCCGAGATGGAGCATGCATTGTCAAATGCTAGTGGCCAGATTGAGTTGGCTGGTTCTACTCTTCACAGGCTGGAGGGGGAGAATGCTGTGCTAAAGAAGGAGATGGATGCCGCAAAGCTCTTTTCCGCAGTGTCTGCTATAAACATGCATAAAGCTTTAGCAACAGAGCAGGAGACAGTGAAGAAGTATCAAGCAGGAGAGGTGGAGAAGCGCTCATTGCAGGAGGAACTCTCTATGCTCAAGCATGAAACATCTGATTTACAGCAGCGACAAGAGAAAGTCAACAAGCGCCTGGACCAGTTTGAGGTATTTCTATTCTAGGAAAGAAGTTCCTTTGCTTAGTTGATCAAAGTTTATATTTTTTACAAATATAGTTAGTGTTTTTAAGGCCTACCTGTTGTACAACCGGTGGTAGATGTTTAGGCCGTCAGTAACTTGTTGTTATAGTTCAAGTATAATGTCAGTTCTTTTTAACTTATAGCCTCCAGTAATAGTTGTTCCAGCATTCACTTATGTAGTCCTGCTGATAATTCATAGTGCTATTTGATATTCGTTCTAGTATAAATGCTAGCACATTAAAGAAACTTGTAAGATTTTATTCTGTGATTTGCTCCTGAGAAAGCAAAGAATTGCAGGTTCTATGGAAGCAGGAGGAAAGGCAGAAACAAAGGTTTGTACAGCAAGCTGATTCCTTGAAAGCTGAAAGAGAACAACTCGGTGTTCAGGGAAAAGCGGCGGAGGATAATTTGAGAGAAAAGGCAGAGAGCAGCATGCAAAAGCTTAAAGAAAATATCCAAAAGCTTGAGAGTGAAATCTCCCAGTTGAAATTGCAGTCTGAAAGTTCAAAAATAGAGGCACTTAAAAGAGGCATTAATGTGGGGCTACCTCCTAATATCAGAAAGAGTTTAGCAGGCTATGAGGATAATTTTGGCTCTACAGTAAAGATGGAGAGGGAGTGTGTTATGTGTATGACTGAGGAGATGTCGGTGGTTTTTCTCCCTTGTGCACATCAAGTCCTTTGTGCAAAATGCAACATGCTTCATGAAAAGCAAGGAATGAATGACTGCCCTTCTTGTAGGACCCCAATTAAGATGCGGATTAATGTCCGCTTTGCTCATTCTTAACAGTTAGCAACGCTAAAACAGTGACAGGAAAAAGGAGCTGGTCGTCGGAGGAATGATGTTTCAGAGCCAAGACATTTTTGTTTTTTAGTATGTCCTTTTTTGAGGCCTTTCTTTCATACCTTAACTGTAATATCGATAGGAAAATGCAAAAAAGGTATAGATATGTAGAAAGTAAAGTGAAAAAGAGTTAGAAAGAGGGACTGGTTAATGGGCCTTGTAAATGCTTACTTTGAAGGTTTAATACAAAATGTTGTTCTCTCTGTTTTCTTCCCATTATTAGGTAATATACTACTTAGCAGGAGAACTTGTTTTTTTAAGATCTTCCTCAAGCATTTTTGACAGCGGATTCCTATGTTGGTTACACCTTTTCAGTGATAAGATTTTGTTCAGCTTGGAAATCTTGATACAGATTATTGGAAACAAAATCAGACTCCCAAATTTCCTATCTGAAACACACTTGTTACGTTCGAAGTAGGTGATGGATTTCTGTAGAAATGACACCAGGTAGCCACTTTAAAGGGCTGCTATTTAAAAATTAGATAGTGCGTCCTTAATTTCAGTTTTGAATTAAAAGGGCTACATTTGCACCTGGAGTTGAATGGCCCAAGTTTATATCAATTGCACCTCAATCTCAAACTAGTTGAGGTTAATTATATCAATCTTTATATTATTATTATTATTATTATTATTGTTGTTGTTGTTGTTGTTGTTGTAGTATTGCGAGATGCATACAAGTCTCATTTGATAGCTGAAGAAAATAAATTATCCAATTCCTATTTTCCCTCGTAGCACTTGCGAATCAAAACTGTTCCTTTGCTGCATTTCTCTTAACTTAATTAACATCAGTTCCCTAACATTTTTATGAAGCAAACAATGGCAACACTAGAGCATATGGCTAGTATAATTCGATCTTAAACGGTAATTTGCGACTACTATTCTTTAACTTCAAGTTTTCCTACGAGAGCTCTTTATTGTATAAAAAATGAGATAAAAAATTTATGATTTTGATGTTGATAAATAGGGGTGAACAAAACCAAACCGCAAACCACACCAAACCGAATATGTCCGGAAAAAAAAACCCGACTAGTGGTTTGGTATTTTAAAAAAATCGAATATAAATGGTTTGGTTTGGTATTAACTAAAAAAAGTCAACCTGCGACTAAACCAACCCGATATTTTATATATCAATAAGCTACTAGCTAGTTGTATGAAGTTTTTCAATTAACCAAGACTTCTTAAGTTTACTTGAGACAGTTGTGAATTGTAATAGTCTAGATGATCTTAGAGTATTATTCCATCAACTCTAATGTAGTTTATAGTTTTTCCATATTCTGTTTTGTATCTAATGCTATTGGAAGGGGTTGGGGTAAAGTGATGAATTTCTCTAGCAAATGTTTACTTGTTGAAGTTATTTTTTAGCAATTAACCTTGGATTTAAGTGTTGAAATTGGTGGCAAGCAGAGGCATATCAACTTGATGCCATGGGTTCATTCTGTCTAGTGATATGGGTGTGCTTTTGTGTGTGTTAGCTAATTTTAACAGGGGAAAAGTACTTGTTGAATTGAGTAAATTTAAATACTTATGGGAGTTTGCTATATGTGCTAAATATGTTTAATCTCAATTATCTTTTGACTTTTCTTTTGTGCCTCTTCATTTAAGTCCTAGCGCTGCCTAGGGGTGTACATATGTCGGATTGATTCGGATTTTTCAATTACCAAATCAAACCAATGGTGTCGGGTTTTTAAATTTATAAACCAAACCAAACCAATAAAGTCAACCAATTATAGGAGTGTAACCAAACCCTATCAAAAAAAAACCTATCGGACAAGATAGAGATCATCTTATTGAGAAATATTTGTTTTGACTGGAGTGCAACCAAACCTTGGGTTCGAACTATGAGATTGAAATTCTTTAGTATTTCCTTTTAATGCCAATTTCTTTTTTTCTATGAGCGCTTTCCCCTTTAATGCGCCTTATGCCGTACAAATCCCGATTAGTTGGGTCCCAACACGGAGACTGGACATCTTATGGTTCTTCATTATCTGCATATGGCCATTTTGGCTTAGGTCATTTTGTATGGACTTTTAGTTTGCTATTTCTACTCAATGGCAAGAACCTATTGAATCCATTTAGAAACCACAAAAAAGGGTGTGCAGGAAAAACGAATTATAAGATGGTTTGTAGAATTACTTGGAGAAGCCGAAGAGAAGTCGATATGTCCGAGTGGTTAAGGAGACAGACTTGAAATCTGTTGGGCTTCGCCCGCGCAGGTTCGAACCCTGCTGTCGACGATTTTGGTTTTTACCACTTGTCGTTTTTCTGTTGGTTCAGCTCCCGTTTTTGCTATCATTAACGCATTTACGTGATAGGTCTATTTCTTCTTGCAATTGGGTTTAAACTTTTGGACCTGCCTTTTTCGTCCTTTCTTCATCTTTATTGAAGCGTTGTAATTGGTCCTCATTTGCTTCAAAGTCGTCAAAACTAAGCTGGTAAGATATTGTGCTTCTCCGTGTTGTCATAATCGCACGTTTTTTCGCTTTCCAAGTGTGAAATTATGAATATAATTTTGTCGAGGACAAAACAGAAAAATGGAAGAAGTCCACCGAAATTATTAATGATGTGTTACCAAAAGCTGGACTCTACAAGAAGAGTTATGCTGACCATCTTCTTTTGGGTACTATTGCTTATAGAATTTATATTAGAACTGACTCTACTATTGCCATTTCCTTTCACCTCTTTTACTTATAAATATCCATTGGGTCAAGTTAAAAGAATTGAAGACCATCTCTTTATGAAGTATATAATTTTCACAAAATAAATGTGTTTAATTTGCGGACGGGTATATTATTTGAATATTGAATGCAGTCCTATTTGTTAACTTTAACTCGAACTATATATAATCAAGTAATTATATGGATACGCACGTACAAAGTTCGCACTTGCTGCCACAAGGTAATAAATTGCAGTGATCGATAACCATTGACCTAAAATTCTGAATTCACGGTTTGATTGTTACGCTATATATACCACCCCAACCTAATAGAATTAGAGGGAGTATGTTTGGGATCAATGCCAGCAGAGTATCTTAACTAGCGTTTGGCCATAAATTTCCAAATTTGTTCTGAAAAATCTGATTTGGGTGAAGTTTGGTTTGAAAATGCAAATGAGTTTGGATATCAGTTTTCAAAACATATTTTCCTAATTTATTTTAGAAAAATATGAAACGTGACTTATACCCACAAATTCTAAAAACTATCACAAATACCTAACAGTACCATTATCAATAACATTCATTATATTATCGCAAACCATAGTCCTGAACATAAATAAATTTGATACAAAATTATTATTTTTATAATGAACTACATGATACACTACCAGGTGACCGAGAAAACAAAGCAATATTGTTATAAAATAATAAATGGTGGGCTCTTTTATAAAATATAAAACTTTAGGGTAATTTTTAAAAAGTATAATAATGATATTTTGGCCCAAAATCAGCTATTAAGCTAATTTTGGGATTTGAGATTTGGGATTTTGTCAAAATGTAGGTAAAATCTATGGCCAAATATGTGTTTGTCAAATAAAACCCAAATTTATTTTGACAAAAATATATGGCCAAACGGTCCTTAATCTTGCTTAGTTAACATATACTCCTCGAAAACACAAACCTTTTCTCTGGAAATCATTTATAATTGAGAGAAACAATTTAATATAATACCCTCCCGAAGAAATGGAAATTGCAGTGAGATGTTCACCAGGGTGACTATCCGCAAAATATACATATCTTTATATTAAGTTCATCCCCACAATACAAAGTGTTTCATTCCGTTTATGTTATGTGAAATTATTTAACTTAGACAGAAAAATTTAAGAAATAACAACTTTAGAATTTATGGTCTTAAATATGTTATGGTATTTCCGAAAATATAAAATCATATCATTAAAGGTAAAATGAGAAGTTTAAAATTAATTTCTTCTAAATATAGAAGAATATCATTCTTTTTTTAATAAATTAAAAATGAAAGAGTATCACGTAAAATGAAATATAAGAAAATAATAATAAATGCAATTATGATAACCACTAATTAAAATTCTAGATTCGTATTTTCTTATATTTAGGCTGTGAACCCTCTCGCTGCCACCCCCAACATGATAGAATTATAGGGTCAATACCAGCAGATATATATATTAGTGGCCGCCTCACTAATTAACAAAAAGAGAAAAACAAACCTTGTTAAGGTCATCATTTATAATTGAGATTCTCTTAAATGAAACATCCTTCAAANAAATAGTACCATTATCACAAACCATAGCCCTGAACTTAAATAAGTTTGGTATAAAATTATCATTTTTATAATGAACTATATAAATCATTAATTACAGCGAAATCCCATTAGAAAATTACGGCTCCTAATTAAAAAGAAAAAGTTAACTGATATGAGTTCAGAAAGCCATTTAGCCTACAAATCAGAAGCAAAAGTAAGATGCACAAAGGATTGAGCTGATAAGGGAGCATATTCATCAAAAATTTAGTTGGTCGTAATAAATATGGGCTCTTTTACAAATTATAAAAGTTTGGGTAATATTTTTAAAAAATTTAAAATGTAACGGTCATGTTTTGGCCCAAAATCAGCATTTGAGGTGATTTTGGGATTTTGCCAAAATGTGAGCAAAATCTATGGCCAAACATGTGTTTGCCAAATAAATCCCAAATTTATTTTGGCAAAACTCATGGCCAAACGGGTCCTAATAGTCCCATTTCGAGGAAAAGACCAAAACAATACATCATATTTGGCTTTAGAATCAAAGTCATACATATTCTTTCACATGAAGCACTAATAGTACATTTACTTTAACAAAGTGGTGCACTTTTAGTCATAATACTGAAAAAAGCCCAAAAACATACGTTATATTTGGCTTTAGATTCAAAATCATGCATATTCTTCCACATGGAACACTAATAGTCTATTTACTTTAACAAAGTGGTGCACTTTTAGTCATAATACTGAAAAAAGCCCAAAAACATACGTTATATTTGGCTTTAGATTCAAAATCATGCATATTCTTCCACATGGAACACTAATAGTCTATTTACTTTAACAAAGTGGTGCACTTTTATTCATAACACTGAAAAAAGCCCAAAAAATACATTATCTTTGGCTTTAGATTCAAAGTCATACATATTCTTCCACATGAAGCACTAATAGTACATTTACTTTAACAAAGTGGTGCACTTTTAGTCATAACACTGAAAAAAGCCCAAAAATATACATTATCTTTGGCTTTAGATTCAAAGTCATACATATTTTTCCACATGGAGCACTAATAGTCCATTTACTTTAACAAAGTGATGCACTTTTAGTCATAACACTAAACATATTTTAATTTTTAACAGAAATCTAAGATCTGACAAAATATTTGTTCCCTTTATTTTCTTGTTTACCGAAAGAAATAAAGATGACAGATTTATCTGGATAGCAAATAGTAAATATACATAGAATTTACTTACTATACGTAAAATATATATTTTACTAAGAAATATTAAACACCGTTAATTTTTATTTGCAATGATTTTTATCTAGATAATCTCAAATATTATCTAGATTTTTTATTATATACATAATATTTACTATACGTTGACATAAAATAAATATACGTAAAATCATTGCTGAGGGTAAAATAAATTTTATTACTAAAATAAATATACGTAATATATATTTATTAGATTTTTTTATTTTATGGGAGTCAGCGTATAGTAAATATAATATTTATTTTTATTTTATGTATATATAATAAAAAATCTAGATAACATTCGAGGTTATCTAGATAAAAATCATTGCAAATAAAAATTAACGGTGTTTAACATTTCTTAGTAAAATGTATATTTTGCGTATAGTAAATAGATAAATAGTAAATAAATTCTATGTATATTTACTATTTGCTATCTAGATAAATCTGTCATCTTTATTTCTTACGGTAAACAAGAAAATAAAGGGAACAAATATTTTGTCATATCTTAGATTTCTGTTAAAAAATAAAATGTGTTTAGTGTTATGACTAAAAGTGCATCACCTTGTTAAAGTAAATGGACTATTAGTACTCCATGTGGAAGAATATGTATGACTTTGAGTCTAAAGCCAAAGATAATGTATGTTTTTGGGCTTTTTTCAGTGTTTTGACTAAAAGTGCATCACTTTGTTAAAGTAAATATACTATTAGTGCTTCATGTGAAAGAATATGTATGACTTTGATTCTAAAGCCAAATATGATATATTGTTTTGGTCTTTTCCTCTCCCATTTCAATTAAAGAATGATGATTACCCATTTATTAAATTGAGATTTGATTTTATTGCTGGTCATTTAACTTTTATTTTGTTGCTTTAGAGTCATTAAGTTGTTTTTATATATTTATAACTTATTATCACTTAATTTTGTTCAAGTATCATAAATATTACCAAACTATTTTTTGTAACAAAAATCATTTAACTTTGTCCAAAAATCAAAGCAAGTCACTTTTATTACCAAAAGTTCTTTCAAATTTACCTACCTATCATATAAAGTGTCTCTTTTGTCATCCTAATAACTTTATGTGATACTTAAGCAAAATTGAATTACTTTTTAATCACTAAAAATAGTTTAATGACTTTCATGATATTTAGATAAAGTTGAGTAATTTTTTTGTTTGAATTTTAAAAAAAATATTTTAGTAGCTTTAATTGCAATATAGTGATAGTTGACATTATGAAATCAACCCTCAAATTGACAATAACTACAAACTCTACAATCTCTTTCCTTTTTTCTTATAGTAGAGATGGTCTTGATATATTTCTCTAATGCAGTGGGGAGTAGTGCCCGCCGGGTTTTGGGTGACGTGGCTTTCCCAGCAAGAAAACCATTCCTCGCTGTTGCGTTCTCATTTGCATTGACTGTCTGTCTTGACTCACTAATATAGTATTAACTGGAATTGTAAGTTAAATATATTGACCTTATTTGGATTATAAATATGTGTAAGCATTTGGTACATGTACGGTCAATTCTCTCTATAATAATATCATATTTTGAATTTTTTTTGCTGTTATAGCGAATTATTATTATAGAAAACATATATTATAACATAACATGTAAATTAGTTTCAAAAATAATTTATTTTTATAGTAAATAATTATTATATAACGATATTGTTATAAACATGTCTGACTGTATGTGTAATTCTTACGTGCTAATAATAAATGAATTTTATGTGAAGTACTTATAATATGTTAGAATTATTTTTTATGAGAATGGCGCCTGAACTAGCTTGTACACTGATTAAACTTTTCCATCAGAATTAACAATTAAATTCTGTTTTCTTATAATATTCACTCACTTTATTAATTACCAGCCCACACTCTTGAATTCTCATAAATATATAGTATATCTTATTAGCAAAAGCGGAGCTGGCCTATAAAGTGCGGATTCGGTCGAATCCAGTTGCTCTTACTTAAATACTGTATTTGCATTAGGAAATTTATTAAATATCAAGATGTGTATTGAGATCTGAATACTAAATGATTAAGATTGTTTGATTTTTTAACATCTGAATGTATAAAATTTACGTTTATTTGAAAATTAATAAACATAAAATTCAAATAAAATACTAATTAATCTAATATTCCATAACTAAAATATATAGCTTTTTAAAATACTATAGTTGCTGGCGGTGATGGCTAACGGTAGTACTTGTGAATGCCGACTAAAAGCGGTGGTTGGTGGTAGATTTAGTTGATGGTGGTAGTTTTTGGGTAGTAGCTGGTGGTGATTGGTAGTGGTAGCTATTATAATTGAGGATGGTGGTGGTGGGTGGTAATAGTTAATAATGGCGGGTGGTGGTAGTAGTTGTGATTGAGGAAGATGATGGTGGGTGGTAGTAGTTTATAATGGTGGGCAGTGCCATCTATGGTTATTGATGGTGATGGGGTGATTAGTTGTGGATGAATATTGGTTGCCGTTGAGAATGATAGTGATGGAAGTGATGGGGATGGTGGGTGGTGGTAGTCGACAATGATGACTGCTATGATTGAGGATGATGGTGGTGATGGGTGGCATGATGCTAGTTGATAATGGTAGGTGGTGACGACAATTGATAATGAATGGATGATAGCATCTTAATGAAATTAAGTATCTGTTACAGATTTTAATGATACAGACATATTCAGACCCATTAAGTGATTGTGAAGTAAAAAAAACAAACACACTTAACGATTAAGATTTGAACAATTAAGATTCAGATTTTAAAAATAAACATACTTAATATCTGAGACTCGAATGATTAAAATTCAGACCTCCATTAAGTGTAAACAAATGAGGCCTAAAACAAATTGTGAGTTTCGTGGTAAATTCAAAACTCAGAAATTTCAAATTTTATCATCTTGCTATACTCTTTTGAGAAGGATAATTACCATGAGTACATCAATAAACGAACTCAAATAACATCGACATTTGAGTACTATACACCAAATGAATTAAAAAATGAAGATATGACGACTGGATTAGGAGGGAGTAGTTGAGTTTTTCAGAACATATTCAAATAATTCTTGTTTTTATATTCCAATTGTTAATCAAAAGTCTAAAGAGACATATCTCTACTGTCCAATAAACGCCCTGTTCTCTCACCCACTATCCTCTCGGGGCAGTTACCGCCCCCACCTCACTCTCCTCTCTCGTTAAGAAATATAGCCATTTGCCTTTCAGTAGTGCTTTCTTTACAGAAAGAGAGGAAGAAAATTTTCTGTGCTAAAACAGAGAGCCCTAGAAAACCTGCCAAATGTCACCAACCCATTCACTGTAAGACTCCTTCTGATCCTCCAACTCTACTCGCAACCAAACTCCTCATAAACTATTCTCTTTTGATACTGAACATAATACCATTTCATTTTTTTGCTTAATAAATGCCCAAAATTTACTGGACTAATTCTCATTTCATAGACCCATTCTCAGAACTCGACACCTCTAATTGAAAGTTAAGGAACCCAACCATCCCGCCACACGGGACCTTTGTGGTCACAAAACTATTACTAGTCACTCATTTTTCATGCCACTATATAAACACAAAAATACACTAAGTGGGAAGGAGGGTCTCGCCAAAGCAGCTTTTGTCAACTCTCTTTGTTCATTCCCATTTCTTGGTCATGCTAAGAGTTCTCAACCAAAAGCTGAAGAAGTTTTGTTTTGGTCTAAGATGGCCTATACGCCGCCGTTCAAAGACCAAGATCAAGATTACTGTCAAACAGCTAGGAAAATCTAATTCCAAGTCTCATTCTCAGCTTGAATCAGATAAAGAACCAGCTAATGCAAATGGGTCTGCGCTGATCCATCCCAGTAATGGGCATGAATTGGGTCGTTCTAAATCTGGACGTACAATTCGTGTAGCTACATTCAATGCTGCCCTTTTCTCTATGGCACCAGCACTTCCAAAGAAGATTGACAGGTCAGCTAGTTTTGACTTTGAAAATGATGATTATTACTCCTGTAATTTAAGAGCAAAATCATCAAATGATCGTCCTAAGAGTATACTCAAACAATCTCCTCTGCATCCTAGTAAAGAAGCTGATACTCTATTAAAGAAGCAAGCTTTTGCTAAATCAAAGTTAAGGGTGTCCATAAATTTACCAGATAATGAAATATCTTTGAAGAAAAGTGGGCAATTAAGCTTTTTGGGATGTGATAGTGAGAGGTTTTTAGGAAGTGGAATATGCAGGGGAAAGGCTCCTTTAAGGTCTACAGTAAGTATGCCACGTATAGATGGTCAGAGTTATAGAAGTACAAGAACTGTTCTTGAAGTATTGAGAGAGTTGAATGCTGATATTTTAGCATTGCAAGATGTTAAAGCAGTGGAGGAGAAAGGTATGAAGCCGTTATCGGATTTGGCTGCTGCTTTGGGGATGAATTATGTATTTGCAGAGAGCTGGGCTCCTGAGTATGGCAATGCTATTATGTCAAAATGGCCTATTAAGTCTTGGAAGATACAAAAGATCTTTGACGACTCCGATTTCAGGTTCTTAACCATTTCTTAATCCTTTATGTAAAACTTTCGATAGATACTGATATGATGAAGAACTTATGTCATATACACTGATAGTATTATTTGTATAATGTAATATGCCCTGGCGGGTTAGTTATCAGTTTACCAGGTTACTAATTCTTATTTTGAGAACTGTTTTTTCTTAAAAGTGCTTTTTACAGAGAAACTATTTTTTTCTGGTTCTCCAAAATTACTTATGCTTCTACTCAAAAGCATTTTTTCCCCTCTAAAAACTTGTAAAAAAAATACTTTAAAAAAAAAGTATTTTTGGTGAGAAACTTGGCCAGATTATAACTATAAGCTTATCGATTCACATTTGATTACTTTAAAAGTAACCTGGATTGTGTAAATATCTTTATTACATTACCAAAGCATATAGGTTAAACGAATGATGCAATTCAAAAGTGCTAACACTGTTTTCCTTATTTCATAGGTTTGCACTTTTGTTTTTTCTGACTCCATGTTTGGCGAAAGCTCACAGATTTTCAGTCATACAAATACACTATATTATTACATGAAACAAGCAGTTCTGTTTTTTTGTTTATTTTCCTTTTTCATTGAATAAGTTGCTAATTCAATGCTGAAACTACGGAAAGCACCATTGTCATTACTCTTTAGGATNTTATGCTCCAGGAACTTTGTATGAGTTGCTACTTCATATTTAATTCCCAAAGTACTTTATGTGTGATCCATGTTTTACCTTACTGTATTTTCTATGTCACGACAAACTTATGCCAGCCTAGAGTAAAAACAAATGAAGTAATAAAATTTCAGAAAGAATTTATCATTTACTTGAAAAATTTCAGGAATTATACAAATTTAAGCCAGACTGTTGAAGCGCATCCATAGTAACGTAATACGTATGAAGTATAATCTTTATCAGAGGTGACAAAAAATTCCCAGCTTTTTATCAGTTATAACTTGCTAAGCTCAGTTATCTGGTGTTGAACCTCTGTTAAAGTCATATCCTTCTTAAGTATGCAATATTGATATCAAGTTACTAGCTCGTTTATTACAAGTGGTTGAGTTTCATGTTCCCTTTTGGTTTCCCAGAGATGGTAATATATTGTTAGGTATGGGTCGTTGGGTGAATCTAAGAATGGTATTTACACAGTAACATGTAATTATGGTAGTCCATTTATCAAAATACACTTAAGCATAAAGCACTTGATTTATTTTTACAAAGATATATGTGAATGCAGAAATGTTCTAAAGGCCACAATTGATGTTCCTCGAGTTGGAGAATTCAATTTCTACTGCACTCACCTTGATCACTTGGATGAGAATTGGCGTATGAAGCAAATTAATGCTGTAATCCAATCCTCTGATAAGCCACACATTATAGCCGGGGGATTAAATTCTCTAGACGAAACAGATTACTCTCCAGAAAGATGGACAGATATTGTAAAGGTACACTATATATAAATCAGACGTCTCAGTCGTCTCAGTCAGAAAAAAATATATCAATTCATATTGCGTCTGCTTCTTTCCTCATTCAATTTGAATCATCACTTTCCAGTATTATGAAGAAATGGGAAAGCCAACACCAAAGGTTGAGGTAATGAAGCATTTGAAGAGTAAAGAGTATACTGATGCTAAAGATTTTGCTGGGGAATGCGAGTCTGTTGTCATGATTGCCAAAGGACAGAGTAAGCAACTCTTCATTCTCTTATTAACGAAACAAAAGTAGTACTCAATTTATATGACAATCGTTTTGTACTGTTGGCTCAAATCTTGTGCAAAATGTACAGGTGTGCAGGGAACGTGCAAGTATGGAACTCGAGTGGATTACATACTCTCATCATCGGATTCACCATACAAGTTTGTTCCAGGCTCATACTCCGTTTTCTCCTCAAAAGGAACTTCTGATCATCACATAGTAAAAGTTGATATGGTAAAAGTAGATACTGGTTCTCAACAACATGTCAACAAGAAACGGCGGCAAGCAAAACATAAAGTAGTCAGGATTACTCATTCAAATCCAAACAAGGGTGTATGGAAAATAGACACATGAAACAGAAGCAGATTGTTATTTCATTGATTTATGCTCATAGTACGCTGCTATAGAAAGGGAAGAAGAAAAAGATAATTTATATGACAGATCTTGTGATTGAACCACATATCAATAACAGTTTGAGCTTGGATTTATAATAAGAGCTAAATGTGCTGTGTCCTTGCTTCAGCTTGACAAAAAGGAGTCCCAGGATATATACTACTCCCAGTTAGCACACCTCTTCATACTTTTCTTTTTTTCTTCACCGAGTTTAACAGAATTACTCATACTTAAGTACAGTTGATTTTTATATAACTTGATTGTGATATGTTTTACCACATCAATATATCAAGCTTAAACTCTTTTGAAATGAATGTTCTGTTTTATTTTGTCAATGAGAACTAAGTTGTTTATAACAAACATCCTATCACAGGTTAAAATATATTAACTTTAATAGTTACAAATTAGGGGAAATAGCATTTTTAGTCCCTAAATTATTGCAATATTCTGGCTTTGGTCCATGTGTTATGTGACTAAGCACATTAAACCTTTAATTAATCTAACCGTGTGATTTAAGCCCTTTAAACTAACGCAAGTTAAAGACTTAACAGTAATTGTTATTTAAAAAAACAGAAAATTCAACATAAGAAAAAGAAGAGCAGATAGAGAGAGTCATTTGCCTTATAATCCATTGAAACATATTTCTGACCAGTGATGGCTTCCAAAAGAAAGGTTATTAAATTATTCCATCGATATGTATCAATTCCAATCTAATCATTAGAGGTCCGACTTGGAGACGTCAAAATCGAAAAAAAAAAAAATTGCTTCATACTATTGCAACCAGTGCTGGCTTCTTCCCCAAATCCAAATATTGCTTCAATGGTTAATTAAAAAGAGAAAAGAAATATCTGATGAAATACACTTATATTATATTCTATAACTGCCTTCTCCATTATCTCTTGCAAATTGGAGCCAGATATGGAGCAATACAAGTTTCTTTTCATTTTTCAGTTTAATCCTGAGGAATGTCCTCAAAGTTGTTTTTTCCTTACTTCAAATATTGAAAACAAGCTTCTACTTATTTGGAATTTTCAATATTGATTCGTTAGGCACAAGTGGAGGAAATTAGTCTCTTCAACTTTTCATCTTCTTATGGGGGGATTTTGAAGGAGCAATATTTAATTAGTTGGAGGAAAATACTTCTACCACTCTCTATGTGCTCTTCTTTTCTAAATTTAATTTTCTGTATTTGTAAATAAAATACTGTTAGGTTTTTAACTTTCTGTTAGTCTAAAGGACTAAAATCACATGGTTAGATTAATTAAAGATTTAATGTGCTTAGTTAAATAATACAGGGATCAATTCCCAAAAGATTGCAATAATTTAGGAACTAAATATGTCGTTTCCCCTAAAAATGATCTAATATGGGTTTTATTTGTTTTATGCAACGGAATGACTACATTCATATATATGCCAAAGAGTTTTTCCATTACTTTATTCTGTAAGCTAAGGTCCATAGGCCAGGGCACACTTGATACTGGCTCAAGTATGACTTATGGATTGCAGTTGTATGTGCAAAACACTTCACGTCCGGTATTTTTACCTGGTCAACGAATATAATGGCCTTTGAAGGCTCCTATGCATTGGCATTACATCGTATTGAGAGGTTGAGGTGGCTTGGTAGAAGACGAGGACGATGATGAGCACCGGTCCTCGGCGTGTAATAACGGATAGTTTAAAAATTTAGATTCCCTAAAGAATATTCTAGTGAATATTATACTCTTATAAATAGGAGGAGATGTAATCCTAAAAAGGGTATTGAACACTTTTGTAAAAAATATTATTGACATTCTCTGAAGATTCTCTCTTTATCGAATACATACAAAATTTGCCTTTATACCTCTTATCCATCTTTTCTCCCCCGATTCAAGAAGAATCGGATTATTCAAAGACTTATCATTATCTATCATAGTTAGAAGAATCATTGGGAAATCTCACCCTTGTAGGGTGAACCTTATTCCGTTATTTACTTGAATGCTATTTATTATTATTTATTGCTTTCTTTTACATTCTTAAATTTTTTATTGTTCCATTATTGCTCTAAGATATTGCTATCTAACAACACACATATGATTTTCGTCACAACTATACCAGATTTGTCATTTATTAATATTGACTTAGATTAACCCTTTTCTCTATAAATCTAATTGTATAAAACCTAGATCAAAATTTTAGATTATACAGTTTGGCGATGTCTGTGAGAACTTTTTATTCATGTTTTGAGTTTCCGTTCAGATCTATCACTCTCGTGATTTGCTGACCTAACGTGCAGTAAAGGTATCCTTTCTCTCTATGTGTACAAAGACTCCATGGCAGGTAACGAAGGAAGCGGAACAAAAGTGACAGACAACGTCTCGCTCAACCTTATTATGAGTGCCATCGATGAAGGGTATGACACCCGGGATGAGGAGGTGACCCCCACTGCATCCCCCAGATTAGGAAAGTCGCCTACACCTTTCTGCAGCACAACCAAACCAAATGGAAAGGGGGCCTCTATTTCCATGGGAGAGGAGGCGCCACCCGCTATGAAAAGGCTCCGCGAAGCATGGTTAACAGATACTCTAGTCAGCGTGATGAGTAAATAAGTCCCATGCACGACCACATAGACCACAAGGGTCCATGCATCACATCACATGAACGAACGAGATGCCCAACCCAATCCTCCTACTTTAGGCAACACTCACACAATTGTTGACAACGCAGGTGACAACGTCCTCGCTGCCGTGTTGAAAAGAATGGAGGAAATGGAAAATGAGAACAAGGCACTCAAAAAAAAAATGAAGGAACATCAAAAATGGGTAGACAAAATACCAGGTGTCCCCAAGTTGTTACCGAAGAGACGCTGGCAGGTTCGTGGAATAGCCATACAGGGAGGAAACGACTCCTCATGCCATACCAAAATCTTTCAAGATGCCCCCATATCTCCGAATCTACGTCGGAACGACTGATCCCGAGGACAATGAGACCCACTATGTCACTGCCATAAAAGGCAACGACCTCACTAAAGAGCAGGTGTCCTCCATCTTGCTAAAATAATTTGGTGAAACCCTCACGGGAGGGGCATTGACATGGTATTCACAACTGCCAGCCTATTCCATAGAAATATTCGAGGAGAGAGCCGACAAGTTCGTAACGACGCATGTCGGGGCCAAGAAAGCTGAAACGAGGGTGAATGACATCTTCGCCATCAAGAATTCCCTAGGGGAAGGACTGAGGGATTTCCTCGCCTGATTCAACATGGTGAGGATGAATTTACCAAACGTCTTTGAAGGGATAGCCGTAGCAGCCTTTCAGAATGTGCTGAGCAGAGAAGGTTCGAGGGCGACCAGAAAGCTATTGAGTTAGTTGATGAAGTACCTACCGGTCACTTGGGATGCGATCCATAGTGCCTACTCAATGACTCATCTCGGTGCAATTCGAATCCAGAAAGGAACGCAAGGATAACGCGAGGATAGACTATCCAACACCGCGGCCAGGCAGAGAACGACATCAACCCTATGTCAGGGCACCCATCCACTCCTTCCACCATGAAGACGAGCCCTCTAGGCCTAGAGCATGCACTCAAATGAATTATCAACGTATGCCCCCTTGCTATCTGCTCATAATTTTTGTGTGTCACCTACAAAGGTGGTCTACGCACTCGAAAAGCTCGGAACGAAAGTGAATTGGCCACCAAAGATGAGGTCTGACCCAAGCACCAGGAAGTCTGATGCCTTCTGTGAGTTCCACTAAGAACGTGGACACAAAACGGAAGATTGTACCGCTCTAAGGTTAGATGTAGCGACCTTGCTGCGACAAGGAAATCTTAAGGAATTACTCAACGATAAAGGCAGGAACACATTAGCAAGAGGTCAAGAACGTCCAGGCCCACCAAAGCCACCTTTGCCTACTCGCACCATCAATATGATTATTGGCGGCAGCCACGATGCCTCCATCAATGGCATCAAATTCAGCGCCACTCATAAACTCAAGAGAACAATCACCCATGAACGGTATGACGACCTCGAAGAAAGTATCATCTTCGATGAGTCAAATAACAACGGTTTGACTTTCCCTCACAATGATGCACTTGTCATTACTTTATGAATTCTTGATACTGATATTAGAAGAATTATGGTAGACGATGGAAGCGGAGTGTGCATCATCCATCGTCGAGCCATTGTACAGATGCGACTTGAGGATAAGATAGTGTCGCATTGCATTACACTAACCGATTTTAACAATGCAGTTGAATGGACTTCGGGTGAGATCACACTCCCCGTCGTCACCACTAGAGTAACATTAGAGACCACATTCCATGTCATGGATAAGGATACCGCATACAATGCCATCGTAGGGTGATCATGGATACACCCCATGAAGGCAGTCCCCTCTGGCTTGTACCAAGTGATCAAATTCTTGACCCTTGGGAAATATTCAGCATACGAGGGGTACAACGCACATCCCGAGAATGCTTTCGGATTGCCTTGGATGGCACGACAATCCATCAAAAGAAATAAAAGGAAGAAGAGGCATAACAGTCAGTAGAGATGAGGTCCTTACCGGTCGAAACCAAAGATACCATTACGGACCATGAAGTAGTCAAAGCCGCAAGATCGACCATAGAAGACCTCGACCCTGTCCAACTAGACCACAACGACCTCATCAAAAAAGCCTACATCGGATGCAAACTCCAAGACCCAGGTAAATTCACATAATTATTTATAGCTAACGCAAATTTGTTTTCCTTTAGCCACGAAGATATGCCCGACATCTCCAAAGAGATAGCCATACACAAGCTAAACGTCGACCCTTTCTACCCCCGGTATGGAGAGTCCGACAAAAGTTCAACCGTACCATCAACGAGGCCGTCCACGAGGAGGTAGAAAAATATTTGGCCAATGGCTCCATCAGCGAGTCAAAATACCCCAATGGATCGCCAACATGGTAATGGTAAAAAAAAAAAGAATGGGAAATGGAGGATGTGTGTAAACTTCACCGACCTGAACAAAACCTGCACAAAGGATTCATTCACATTATCACACATCGACCAAATCATCGATGTGACAATGGGACATGAGTTACTAAGTTTTCTAGATGCCTACTCAGGTTACAATCAGATACTCATGGAGGAAGGTGACCAAGAGAAAACTACGTTCATCACTCACAGGGGAACGTACCGTTATAGGGTTATGCCATTTGGGTTGTAGAACGCGAGAGCTACCTATCAAAGGCTGGTCACAAAGATGTTCAAAAACCAACTCGACAAAACCATGGAGGTGTACATCAACGTCATGTTGGTCAA